CGACCCCATAACAACCGACCCCATAACAACCGACCCTAAATCGACCGATCCCATATCGGCCCACGAAGATTTTGCCTACAGCGCCCCCAAGCGGCCGGCAGTGCGAATTACATCCCCAGCCTTGGCCTTTTAACCCCATCGCCACCCCATAACCACCCCATAACCACCCCATAACCACCCCATAACCCCATCACCACCCCATAGAGCCCCATTGCCACCCCATAACCCCATCACCACCCCATAGAGCCCCATAGCCACCCCTTAACCCCCATAGCAACCCCATAACCGCCCCATAGAGCCCTATAGCCAGCCCATACCCCCTCATATCCCCCCCATAACCCCATAACCCTACAAATTAACTCTTTCTTCCCCCCACAGCTCTATAGGACGCTGCCTCTCCTCCTCCTCCTCCTCTCCAACCCCATATCGGCCGACCCCATAACAACCGACCCCAAATCGACCGATCCCATATCGGCCCACGAAGATTTTGCCTACAGCGCCCCCAAGCGGCCGACGGTGCGAATTACATCGGGTTCCATCCGGGGCCTTTTGCTCCCTGCCGGCTCTTCCACGGCCGCCGCCTTTTTAGGGATCCCATACGCCGTCCCCCCTTTAGGATCCCTCCGTTTCCGTCCCCCGATCCCGATCCCAAAACCTTGGCCTGGTATCCGAGATGCGGATTCTCAACCTTTCGCCTGTTATCAAATGATAGACACCACTTTTCCGGGTTTTCAAGGCTCCGAGATGTGGAATCCTAATAGGGAAATGAGCGAGGATTGCCTTTATCTCAACGTCTGGACCCCAAAAAGGCGACCCTATAAAGCTCCCGTGATGGTTTGGATTTATGGGGGTGGTTTTTACAGCGGTTCTGTTTCCCTGGATGTTTACGACGGGCGTTTTTTAGCCGTGGCTGAGGATGCTGTCGTGATATCCATGAATTATCGCGTGGGATCTTTAGGGTTTTTAGCTTTGCCGGGTCATCGGGACGCACCGGGTAACGTGGGTTTATGGGATCAACGCCTGGCTTTGCAATGGATCAAGGAAAACGTCGAGGTTTTTGGGGGGGATCCCAATCTGGTGACCCTATTTGGCGAAAGCGCCGGTGCTGCTTCTGTAGGATTTCATCTTTTATCACCCTACAGCCAAGGGTTGTTTAATAGGGCCGTCCTTCAAAGCGGTTCCCCCAATGGACCCTGGGCGAGTATCGGGGCGGCCGAGGGGAAAAGGAGGGCGATGCTTTTAGGGCGGGTTGTAGGGTGCCCTTATGGGAACGAGACGGAATTATTGGGGTGTTTAAGGGGGAAGGAACCTGGGGAGCTTTTAGAAGGGGAAGGGATGGTGATGCCACCCCAAAGCGTTTTTAGGTTCGCTTTCGTTCCCGTGGTGGACGGGGAGTTTTTGGTCGATAATCCCGAAGTGGTTTTAGGGGGTTATGGGGTCGGTTATGG